GGGGGGCAGGAAAGAAGGCGGCAAGCATTTGCGAGGGCTCCGGGCATCCCCGCCTCGGCAGCCGGTCCTCCGCCCCCCCGCTCCTGCGGGATGGAGCAGCCAACTCCCTCGCAGCCTCACCGCCCGCCTCGTTGCCCCGGCCGGTAGCACACCCAGGGCAGGACTAGCACGGCAGACAGGGCAGGGGCTCGGGCCGCGCTCCTCCGCTCCATCCCTCCCGACACGGCGCTCCGGCAGCGCTGCGCTCCCACCCCGCGCCCCCCGCCCTGCCCGAGCGGGAGATGCTCCGCGGCGCCAGGGAAGGAGCCTCCGACAAACCCGCTCCCGGCACTTACTGATCCCAACTCCGGACCGACGCGCACCGGCCGCCGAGTCTGTGTGTTTGCTGGTGGTGCCTTACCCCCAGTTGCCACCTGTAGGCCTTTTCCCAGGGAGGATCAGTGTCTCGGCTACCATCCGTCAGGATTCGGCGTGCAAAGTTTCAGGCGGGTACTCGGCACCGCGGGACCTGTTTGTCTGTCCGGGGTGCGCGGCGGGTCAGCCTCGCCACGGGCTCCTGCTCCTCCCCGGGACCGTCCCGCATAAACCTGTGCCGAATTGCACCTGCTGCAGGAACATCCGAGGCCCTGAAGGGGCAAACCTCCGGGTGTTACCTTAAAGCAGCATATACCTTCATTTCTTAGCAAACAAACTCCACGTTGATTCAGCCTTTCATCACCCATGCAAGGGGAAGACACCTCACAGGTGAGCGGCAGCTAAACCACTGCTGGTTTCAAACGCAAATGTTCACTTTTTCGCCCTATCCGCTCTACTCGTCTCCGAGATGGGACGGGACAGGCACTTCTGGGCCCCCTCACTTCTGGAAGAGAGCTTTCCCAAGCCGAGTACAAACCCCGAGTTTGCCTCTTTAATCACACCAAACTCCCCTCCCCTCTTGCAATCAAACCCCTTTATTGGGTTCACCTGTGCTCCTCCCTCAAACTTCTGCGGGCAACTCCATCTGCAAAACCTTTTATAAAGGAAAATAATCACTCCTGACCTTTCCAGTTAAGACGACCGTGTAAATTTTGGCTGTTTCAATATCTCAGATCCAAACGGCAAAGTAGATTTATGCATCACAAATTCTCTGCACAGAAGCTGAATAAAACCCCAGCTTCCCCAGTATTTTCAGAGGAGCCTGTTAATTCCTTTGGAATCCTGACAGCCAACCCCAGCCTTCAGAAGGACTCAGACTATATTTCTAGAGTACTGAGGAGCTCCGACACTGCATATTAGAAAAGGAGCGCAGAGTTTAATCCGAGGCAAGCAGGATGCCGCCAGCTATTTTATATTTAGGTGCTTCTCCCCTTGACGGCGCCACGTAGCAGCACCCACCCCTCGGAGCCTCTCACTCCGCCGCGCTCGCTACCCCCAAAACTGGGGCCAGGAGCCACTCGGGCGAAATGACTTTGCTCCTTCCCGCACCTGCTCCCGGCGCGGGGCTGCGGCTCCCCCAGCTCGGGCGGCCTCGCTGTTAAAGGTGCCCTGACCCTCCGCGGGGACCCCCATCCCATCCCACCCCATCCCTCTTCGCCGCTCACCTCAGCCCGCCGCCGCCACTCCCTCTGCTTTCCCCGCGGTGCCGAGCCGAGGCGCGGGGCTGCCAAACGCGGGCAGAGTGTGCCCCCGCCTCGGCTCGGAGGGACGGCGAACTGCAGCCGCGGCACCCCCGGACCCCCGGCAGTGCAGGCAGCCCCGAGACTGGGCACACCTGCCTTGCTGGGGGAAAAAACAAAACAAAACAAAACAACCCCAAAAAAAACCAACACAAAAACTGCAAGCTTCCCCGAAACACAGAGGAATAGCGGTGAGCTGGCACCTGTGTGAACTCTGAGAGCAGGGTTCTGTTCAGGGATGCTGGCACAGGTTTGGAAGTTAACAGGAGTGATTTCCGTGAAGTAAAAATGAATATTAATTACAGCAGCTGAAGAGGGAAGGTAATGTGTCCTGGTTCTGTCAAAGAGCCAGCTCATTGGCAAAAGTGTTCTTTAGGATTCCACCAGTTGTCCTTGTACATTTGTTTTTACAAACAAGGGATATTTGTAAAGAGCCTTGTGCACTTCAATAAAGGCCCAGAAGCTTTCTTGTACTCATTTGTTTGCTTTAAATATGAGTATTTCCTGAGTATGTGAGCTTTGCAGGCTTACACTGAAGAATTTCGGTGAACTATCTGAATAAAAATCTCAAACAGGCACAATCAGCAGCCAGTGGAATCAGGGACTCAGCCATCATTCCTTTTTTTCCTCAATATTTATGATTAACACCACACACAGAGTGAAATTTCTCCTCTGTTTGCCCCCAAAACTTATTAGCTTAAGCCCACCATCAACATGGTAGGCCATGCCAGGTTCCTCCACTCGGTATGGCATGCAAAGAACAATTATTTAACAATAGAATCCCAAGAAGACTGGGGTTGGCTGGAGACCCCAGCAACCCCACTGCTGCTTCTGTTCCCACCACAGCTGCTCACATGGAAACATGAGCAGAGCTCAGAAAATGAGTTCTGTCCTGTTGGCCTCCAAAAGAGAAGTTCCCCAAGCCACATGTTCCTACTCTTTATCCTTGCATCAACTTTGCTTGACCCAGTTCAACTCATTAAATCAGCAGAAAACTAACCTGGCAGCAAAAAGCCGAGTTTCCTTCGTCTTCAACAAGCCAAGTGGGATCACTGGGAATCAGATAAGCAGCAAAGCCATTGCTGAGCAGGTCTGGACTGAGCAGATCATGCAAGTGGTGCAGGACCATCCCCTTCAGCTGCCAGTTGTTATGTTTGCTCAGCCACTCTGACCCTTTCTTCCCAGTTTCACCTGTGTAAATCCAGATTAAATCTCCTCACTGCAGCTGAGTCCAAGATTTCATCCTTCACATTCTCTGAAGTCAAAAGCAAAACTCGTATTGATTTAGATGAAGCCTTCTTATGTTCCTCTTCCCTACCAAAGTGATAAGAGCACGAATTTTAACCCTTATGGTACCCTGGTGCTTTACAGGAATCCTAGAAATATTTGAATGGCAATGTGCACTATGGAAATCAGCTCACAGTTCATGCCACAGGATCATCTGTAGGCACACAGGTGAATGAAAACCTGTGTCATGACTTGAATTCTTTCCTCTCATACTTCCCTCCCCCTCATGCTTCTTAAACATGCGAGTTCTTCAAATTAAGTACTGCAGGAAGAAAAGGAAGCCTAAGGAGGTTAAGTGTGAGGGAAATGCTGATCAGCACCTGAGCTGTTGCACTAGCCAGGTATTTCTCCATATCATTATTAGATGAGTCACAGAGATTTTAACAGAGAACCTTGTTTGCTTATACAGAAGACCTACAGATTTGAGAGCTCAGGAGCTTTTGTGCTAATGCAGAACTCAGTAGCATTTGTCATGGTGCACAATCTTGTTTGAAAAGTAACTCTTTTAATTAGAGAAAGATTTAATTTCTACTTTGAAATTTGGTGGACGATTTTAATAAGAGAGGAGGAATTACAAGCTAAAGTGTCAAGACCTCATTAATCAAATATTTGCATGTGCTTACATATAATTTAAACAACTCTGCCATTTATTTAATCTTAAAATTCAGAGTGAAAGAGCAGATTTGCCACTGTTTGTTTAGATATGGCTACATTCACTAAGCTCATGCCTGAGGCCTCTACTTAATCTGTTTTACTACTCGAAATAATTGCAAACAGGGCAATACCTTCTATTACATCCCTGCCTTCTCTTCTCTTTAAAAGAACAGTTAATCACAGAAAGAACGTTTAGAGGCATTTGCAAAGTTCTGATTTTTTTTGCAATGACCAGCTGTACTGAGAATTTGTTCAAGGATCAATGTGCATTTTATATGAATAGAATTAAAGTTGTTAATATAATTCCCTAAAGCCCAAATTAAGTTCTCCTAATCCATCATGTCCTGTAACTATTGAAATGAATGGAAATTCTGTTATTGATTTCAGGGAAAGCAGGTGCAGCTCCTTTATGTGCTAGTCCATCTCAAACCATCTGTACATATATGCGTGTGATGTGTATACCATATATATCTGCAGGAATACTGTATCCTCAATACCAACCAAAATCTGCTACACATAGAAAAGGTATTAATTTCACGTGATACTGGGGGAAATTTTAGCCAGGAACGTCTCACAGGCATTAATTAATTTATATTACTGCAAGATGCACTGTGTCCGCAACAGAGTCACAAAGACAAAAAAACCCAAACAAGCCATGCCAGAGGCCATGCTGCAAATCTTTGCAGAGGAAAGGCTGGCACCCAGAACCTGCTGTCCTCCCCATGCCCAGAGAGCCAGTCCACTCCCCCTTAATTCCAGAAACACTGAGTGACCACTCTGCCCATCGATTGCATTTGGGGTTGTGAGTGCTCAGCACTTCTCCATATTAGGCCTGGAGGGTCCTGGGGATGAGACAAACAGAGAGTAGCCACTAAATCTGTTTTGGTTGAAGTGTCTTGCTCAGCAACACACACTGAGACTGCAGCAGAAACGAGGATAAAGGAGAATTCTTCTCATTCACCTGCCTCCATCACAGGTGATCCTTTCTGTTTAAGCAATCCCCTCTATTGCTCTCTTCTCTGTGCACCTTCAGATTTCTACACATGAACAGGGAATCTTCCTGATGTACACACGGAGCTGGCAGGAGCATTGAGTGCTGTAGGTAAAGATGATATTGTAGTTTCAGAACAATTTGGATTGAAAAAGCCCTCTGAGATCCTCAAGTCCAACTGTTCCCCCAGCACTGCCAGGTCCACCAACCCATGCCCTTCAGTGTCACTCCTACACGCTTTTTGGACACTCCAGGAATGGTGACTCCACCATTCCTTGGGCAGCCCCTGCCAAGGCCTGACCACCCTTTCCAGCAACAAATTCCTCCTCCTGGCCAACCTGAGCCTCCCCTGGCACAGCTGGAGGCCGTTCCCTCTCCTCCTGTCCCTTGTTCCCTGGGAGCAGAGCCCGATTTCCCCCCCGGCTCCCCCCTCCTGTCAGGGACTTGCAGAGCCAGAAGGTCCCCCCTGAGCCTCCTTTTCTCCAGGCTGAGCCCCCCCAGCTCCCTCAGCCGCTCCTGCTGCTCCAGCCCCTTCCCCAGCTCCGTTCCCTTCCCTGCACACGCTCCAGCCCCTCCGGGTCTCTCCTGTTGAGGGCCCAGAACTGGGCCCAGCCCTCGAGGTCCCTCAGTGGTGCACAGAGATGTCGAAAGGTGACACCTTCATAACTTTTGAATGCCTGACACTGCAACTGAAGCAGCTCTTAACCAAAGCAAACTGTTGTACAGAGGAGAGGGCTGCTGTTTTCCGTGTCTTTTCTTCAAGTGAGAACAAAGGGGGTAGCGGAATCCCAACAGTTCCCAGTTACCTATTGCCAGCTGTGTATGACACCACACAACAAGAGCAACTACATCGCCTGCCAAAGAGAGGGAATGTTTTTCTTAACTGGGAAGTAGGATATTGAGGTTATTTTTTTGTTCAATCACCAACAGGTAAGACAACGTTGCGTTACAAGTCCAGTCTACCCAAGTCTCTTCTCTCTGTTCCTTGAGGAGACTGTGTTCCTGCCAGTGCAACGTGCCATTATTCCTGGTGGCACAGCGTGCCAGGTTACACTGTTTATGTTTTGACAAACTGCCAGCATTTTGCTAAGAAATCAAGTACAAAACCCAGGAAATTACCAAGTTTACATCTCAGCCAAAACTGAAAAGAATTTCATAAAGTAATAAATGCTTTTCTCTGAGTCTGAAGGTTTTCTTCCCTGGCAAGATCCAAAGACTCATGGAAAACAACATAAGTGCTTCAGCCTCTGAAAAAACATTGTATGAGTCTCTTACAAGGGTGTATTCTAATAATCTGAAATAAATATTCTGTGCTCAGAAAG